TTTCCTATCATATGTAAGATACAGTACCAGGTTATATGATAAGAATACAGTAGTATCAAAATCTTCTTAAATCTGCTTAAAATTGAAGCATTCCCATTTAAGGTCATATTTTAAATAGTATGGTATTTCTATGGCACTTATTCAACCATGTCCTATTCAGTTTATGTGTGGGAGACAAAACTCCCTTTGCCTTTGTCTGTGCATGAGGAACTATTTTTCAGCATGACGTGTGTGAGAGAGAATTTCATATCCTTAGGCCACATTTACAATGAGAGTGGTGTAACTGAGTCTAGGATATGGGGAAACTGAAGGTGAGGCACTTGAGACACCCTTGCTCTCTGGGCTTTGTGTTTCAGTATGTTTTCCCCATGTCTGACCACAGGAATGGACATTGGTAATCTTCCCCTTACCATAAGCTTCATGTACAGGGATGCTACGTTTCTCTGTTTGTTTTATGCTGTAGGTTTCTAGATTTAAATTAAGTGATTTTTTTTCTTTTAGTAGAGTCTACTGCTATTTCTCCCTTTGCCTTGGGCTATATTTATACTATTGGGAACCACAAAGGGAGAGCCCCTGGTACAAAAATCAGCCAGAGTCCCTCCAGCAAGGAGCCCCTCCCATTGTTATTTTATAGCACATGGCAGTTACATAACAAGTTACATACAATACCAAAGTATGGGGCATTTCTCCCGCTAACCATATGTGTGCTTTTATGTGTATAAGCATAGTCTAGAAGACCAGGAGTGACCAGTGCAGTGCTTCAGATCTCCTAACTTGACCATGCATTGTATTTGTATTCAGTACTGCAGCTGAAATCTTCCAGTGTTTGTACATCTTGAGGGTGTGTGTGCATGTCAGAGTATGTCTCAATGAAGGAGAAGCTGAGTGACTGTATTCAGAGAGCGGTGTGTCAATCCTAGTAAGTGACTGAGTATTTAGGGAAAAAAGAACAGGAGTACTTGTGTCATCTTTCCATTATTTACCTATTTCCTGGCACACAACTACTTACTAACCCTGACACACATACTCATGAACCCACATATTGAGTCACTCGCTTTACTCCCAGAAAAAATATAGTTACTTACTAACCCTTAAACATCCCCCCCCTGAATACTGGTTTCAGAGTAGCAGCCGTGTTAGTCTGTATCCGCAAAAAGAACAGGAGTACTTGTGGCACCTTAGAGACTAACAAATTTATTTGAGCATAAGCTTTCGTGGGCTACAGCCCACTTCATCAGATGCATAGAATGGAACATATAGTAAGAAATATATATACATACAGAGAACATGAAAAGGTAGAAGTACCTTCTTGTCAACTGTCTAAAATGGGCCATCTTGATTATCACTACAAAAGGTTTTTTTTTTCTTTTCTTCCTCCTGCTGATAATACCTCATCTTAATTAATTAGCCTCTTACAGTTGGTATGGCTACTTCCCCCTTTTCATGTTCTCTGTATATATATATATATTGCTTACTATATGTTCCATTCTATGCATCTGATAAAGTGGGCTGTAGCCCACGAAAGCTTATGCTCAAATAAATTTGTTAGTCTCTAAGGTGCCACAAGTACTCCTATTCTTTTTGTGGATACAGACTAACACGGCTGCTACTCTGAAACCAGTATTCGGGGGGGATGTTTAAGGGTTAGTAAGTAATTATGTTTTCTGGGAGTAAAGCGAGTGACTCAATATGTGGGTTCATGAGTATGTGTGTCAGGGTTAGTAAGTGTTGTATGCCAGGAAATAGGTAAATAATGGAAAGATATTCATAAGTGAGTTATATGGCAAGTCCCTCCTCCCTTTTCTCAGTTATGGGAAACATTTAATTTACTCAGGAAGCAATGCTGGTGATATTTACAGATCAGAAGTATGTTCAAACAGAGCAAGATCCCAGTACAACCACCCACATTTAGTTTTTTGAATTTCCTGCTGTTCCTAAAGAATCAGTGCCCAGTATTTATAATTAGTTGTTGAACAGATTCATCTGTGTCAGCAGATATGTTCATTTTAACTTGGAATGCTGATTCAGAAGTTAAAATAGAAATTAGGAACTGGGAGAATATTTGTTAGACTATTATTAAAACAGAAGCTAAGGGCTTGTTTACAGCTAAGGGTTTATGCCATTTTGAAAGTAATCCTTATTCCAGGATTACTCCAGGGGAATTTTACCAATTGTCCCCATGTAAACAAGCCCTAAATTTAAATTTACTCACCAAAGAATCATTGTTATAGTAGATTCCAAACAGAATGAAAAAAGGGAGCAATATGAATTTGGACACGTTCAAATTTTGGGAAAGAGAAGGGGAATATTTGTCCACTGCTTTGAATATATTCAGATAGTGGTATTAGTGCTAACTGGCTAAAAACAGCATGGGTGTCCAGCATCTTACACTGGCTTTCCCTATTCAATTTCAAATCTGTTTCCAATCCTGACCTTTAAGTTCTCAGTGGGGCTAGACCTTTGTTGTGTTAAAGACACATATATGGCATATTAACTAGGACACTGCTGACAATGTCCTGTGTATTCTATAGCAACTGGACTCAATTCTTTGGCAAGATTCCTAGATTCTGCAGTACTCTGGTATGGCAGAATGGAAATTCTGTGGCAGATTCATTTAGATTAAAAGATATAGGTTTTTAATTAAACCTGAGATTAAATAATCTGTACAGTATCCACTGTTGTTTATTTTTATGGTAAACTCAATTGATTTTACAATGTCTCGGTTTTCAATTTTTTACTTACTCCTTAAGTGAAATGATGAGTTCACATTTCTCAAAACTATTGTTTCAGGCTGTCTACAGACTGAAGAATAGAATATTGTTTATAAGGGCTAGAAATGTATGTTATATATACAGTGTGTTTGTGGATATATGTATAACGCATACAGAGACATACATGAAAGCTCAGATTTTAGAGCACAACTCTGTTGGTAGCAAATCCCATGGTGAAAGAATCACAGTCCACAGAACACATGCAGCCCTGATGTAGGGTTGACAGTGCACAAAGTCAAATACTCAGCAGCAGTCCTAGGGTAGCCTTTCTCAGTGGAAGACCCCTTGGCCATACAATTTCCAACAGAGATGTTGGGAGGCTGAGCCCAGCTCCTGCTACATTCAGAACATGCAGCAAAACTCATATCTTTCTGCAGGATCCAATATATGGCGTCATCTTAGTGAAAGGAGCTGCGTATGCTGGTGGAGGGGAATAGATCTTAGATCAGGTTAATGAAGGGCAGTGCGTGGTGAGGGGATATATCCTGAGAGGCTGTGTGTGTTGGATTCTTTGCTTGCAGATGCAGATTAATGGGGTGGGGTGTGTTTGGAGGGGCAGGTTAGTGTGCGGTGGAGGGACAGGTTAGTGGGTTGCAGTGTGTTTTGAAGGGCAAGTTAGTGTGTCATGGGGGACAGGTTGGTGGGGTTTGAAGGGGCAAGTTAGTGTGTGGTTGGGGGACAGGTTAGTGGAGTGTATTTGGAGGGGCAGTTTAGTCTGTGGTTAGACAGGTTAGTGGGGTGGGCTGTTTGGAGTGACAGCTTAGTCTGTGGTTGGGGGACAGGTTAGTGGGTCGGGGTGTGTTTGGAGGGGCAGGTTAATGTGTAGTGAGGGGCAGGTTAGTGGGATGGAGTGTTTGGAGGGGCAAGTTAGTGTGTGGTTGGCAGGACAGGTTAGTGGGGTGGGGTGTGTTTGGAGTGACAGGTTAGTGTGTGGTGGGGGACAGGTTGGTGGGACAGGGTGTGTTTGGAGGGGCAGGTTATTGGGGTGGGGTGTTTGGAGGGGCGGGTTAGCGTGTGGTTGGGGGAAAGGTGGGTGGGCTGGGGTGGAGTGTGTTTGGAGGGGCAGGTTAGTGGGGAAGTAGGTTAGTGTGGTGGGGTGTGTTTGGAGGAACAGGTTAGTGTGTGGTTGGGGGACAGTTTATTGGGTTGGCATTTTTGTAGGGGCAGGTTTGTATGTGGTGGAGGACAGGTTAATGGGGTGGGGTGTGTTTGTAGGGACAGGTTACTGGCGTGGGGTGTTTGGAGGGGCAGGTTAGTGTGTGGTTGGGGGACAGGTTAGTGGGGTGGGGTGTTTTTGGAGGGGCAGGTTAGTGTGTGGTTGGCGGGACAGGTTAGTGGGGTGGGGTGTTTGGAGTGACAGGTTAGTGTGTGGTTGGGGGGCAGGTTAGTGGGTCGGGGTATGTTTGGAGGGGCAGGTTAGTCTGTGGTGGGGGCAGGTTATTGGTTTTGGGTGCATTTGGAGGGGCAGGTTAGTGTGTTAGGGGACAGATTAGTGGGTTGGGGTGTGTTTGGAGGGGCAGGTTAGTGGAGTGTGGTGGGAGGGGAGGTTAGTGGAGTGAATTGGAGTGTGTTTGGAGGGGCAGGTTAGTGTGTGGTGGAGGGACAGGTTAGTGGGTTGGGATGTGTTTGGAGGGACAGGCCAGTGGGGTAGGGTGTTTGGAGGGGCAGGATAGTGTGTGCTTGGGGGGCAAGATAGTGGGGTGGGGTGTTTGGAGGGCAGGTTAGTGTGTGGTGAGGTGACAGGTTAGTGGGTTGGGGTGTGTTTGGA